CAACATTGCATAGCCTAATAACTAGATAGAGAACATTGATGTTGATCACATTTATAGCATAAAAGCAAATGATTATTTTTGGGTGGCTGGGTTGCATTTTTGTTTTTCATAGTCAGTGTTGATGGTAGTTTCTCCCAGTTGTAATGCTTTTAGAACTTTTAGACATTACATTTGGTCATTTCTGCTCTTTTATTTAGTACCATCTCCCTTTCACAAAAAATCCAGGAGTTAGAGGAGTCTAACCACATGTTTTCAAAAACCTAAATGTCTCTGGGGAAAATTACTGCCTATAAAGTAAAACACAATGCATATCTTAAAAGTGTCAATATATTTAAAGGAAGTATGTATTTTCAACTCAGTTATTTTACTAGATTAGGTAGTTTCTTTTAACTTTATGGAGTGCTATAACTGCTCAGGGCAAATATCCACTGACAGAATCAAAATTTAAAAATTTCCTTGCATTTCAAATTTAAACATCTAATTAGATTTTTAGCAGCATACAGTTGATTCTAGTCTATATCAAGATGACAAATTTAGGTGTTGGAAGGGTAAAGAAGTAGGTAGGTACCTATAGGTAGGTAGTTAGGTTTAGTAGACTCAGCTTAAATGGGTACTTGAAAGCAAGATGAGACTGCTCTGATTCGCTTTGTATCCTTTATTGAGTCTTGTTTCACAATCCATAATTCAATTTTAAACACCATTTGCCAGCTGCATTCACTTCCTATCATATTAACCTGAAATGTGGTAGAGAAAATAAACTAAGACAAATAGATTTTTCTGTTTGTCTTTCGACTTAACATTTCAGGATCAGATATGGCTTGTATTCAAGACTAAAGGTGCCAGAAAAGTAAATAATATACAATACTTATTAGGCATATCTTCAATGTCCTTGTTTTGTTATGGCCAATTAGGCTAATCTTAGTGATGGTCAGAGATTTCTAAATAGTAGTAACTCCTGTAAATACCAATTTCCAAATGGTATCTCTCTATTCCAGCCCATCACAACAGTTTTAAAATCAGCTTTTGTTTTTGTTTTTGTTTTTGTTTTGTTGCTTTGTTTTGTTTTTTAACAGGAGAGCCAGTGTAACTCCTTCAAGACTGGAGTGACACACACTGCATCTGCATCTGCCTCATGTGAGTTCTCATTTTGGCAGCAGCACTCTACTAGGCTGGAACCTCTGTAGAGGTTTGCCCTTTATTTTTCTAAATCTATAAACTACTACACAGTGTGTCTTGGTGGCAAAGGTAAAAAGTGCATGAGAATTTCAAACTTCCCTGCAGAAAGTTTTCAGCTCATTCGAAAGGGACTTTCTCCGCTAACATAGGTTTTATCTTGTATGAACAATATTACTCAAAACAGAGCCCACAACTTTCATCCACAACATGCAGTTATTTTTTGAAGAGCGGTTTTTTCCTTTCAGATTATGGAGTAAAGAATATCTTTAAATGCTCTCAGTAGCTTCAACTTTCAAAGCTTTGGTTGTTCTCTTTATATTCTAGTTACGTAACCTGAGAACACTGTGTGCTGTCCTAGTGACTAAAGCAGTCCTCTTTTTTGGACTCTGGCCCTTAAAATAACTTCTTCCTTTGTCTTTGGATATTGAATAAGTTGGGGTAGGCCCGAGGACCTTCTTGGAGAAGAAATAAGCAGTTAATATGTGAGGTTATGTTTACTTTGAAGCTATTGCCTGGGTTTTGGAACCACAGAAAGTCAGTTATAAGAGATGAGTTAGAAAATGTGCATCATTTACTTGCCACAGTTTTGTGAGAGAAATTGAAATTAGAGTCTTGCAGCTGTGGAGCGGCATAAAGCTCTACAGACTGAGGTGATATACATGGTTCCCTACAAATGAGGCTGGCTTTGAAGCTCCTGTTTGACTGAAAAAGGAATTTTGCTTTTAATTTTTAATTTTTATTTTTAAAGGAAGAGCAGTACTTTGTAAGCTTCAGGAATTTTTGCTACCAGGTCAGAACAAATGTGTTTATTCCTAAGGAGCAGTTAGAATAAAACATCTAAATTCATGCTCTGTTCAGCTACAATTCTGCTTTTGCAGAATTGTACTGTATAGTTCTCTAGCAGATAATTTAAAGACCTGGGAGTTCATGTTGCTGAAAGAATTATCTGGGAAGCTTATGAGAAAATGTCAATAGCTAGTAGGTCTTACTGATTAATATAGAGCTTGATGAAATAGATGGTGTCGTCCAAGTGGAACTTGGACTGTCTTTGCTAAATCCATTTCCACCTGTGACTAGAGCAGTTTATTTTGGACTGGTTGAAAGAAATTGGAGAGAGAAGTGTATGTTTTGACACTCAAGCTTAAGTTTTGATGGCCCATGTAATCTAGAAATTCATGTTTAGCAGTGGTAATACACCCTACCACAGAGAACTTTGGATGAGACTGAGAGAGACCTACATTCTGGCTTCAGCTGATGTTTGTTCTTGCTGTGTAACTTTGGGTCAGCAAATGGGGAAAGATGCATTGTATTTTTAGAAAGTACCTTGAACTCATTGAGAGAAAGGAAATTTAAAGCATTTATTTCTATAGGTGGAATTTCTAGAAAGTCACTTCCCTTGAACACTTGGGAAGTTCTGCCCCGTGAATAAATACAATGTGGCAAATATGTAGTGTTTTATTTTCTGCTATTCTATTTTCTACTATTCATTTTGCCAGGCTTTGTACTGGCAAAATGAGGATTTGCGATTTTTTTTCACTAAAAATTCTGAGTAAATTAATTTGAGCTTCAGTCCAAAGTGTCTCATAGACATAGGTTTTAAATGCCTGTTACTCCATCATTCTATAATTACCTGACTCTTTAACTAGGGAAAATTGCTGATTTAGGTGTGAGCCTAGGTGGGAATGATTAAGGTTTGTTTTTGTCCCCCATTCTTAAGGCATATCCAGCAAATTATCCTTCTGAAAAATTAATAATTAAAAATACTTTATTGATATATGGGCCAAATCCTATAAGAATGAATGTCAGTAGATTACCCAAAGTACTTAGCTATACTGAAATTTTTTTCATTAAATATTGTTTGAAATAAAGGGACTTTGGTTAGGATTGAGATGTAATTTTTGGTTTTTGGAAATTGTATTAAAATGAGATTTACTTGCAGTGGAGGTGGGAGCAGGGGGCAGGGTAAGGTGAGAGATGTTATAGTTCCAGCATAACTCAAATTTACATCAGCGGGTACCATGCCTTACTGGTTTTATGATAATATACCAGCTTTTAACTCTGTTAGTGTGTGTGACTGTGTAGCACTTTCTTTACCACGGTGCATATCTTATAGAATAGATTTAGGAGTTCCACAGGTAAGTCTTCAACAGGTTGTTTTTTGGGGGGAGGGATGAGGCAGGAGTTGAGGGGAAGAAAGAAGTATTGCCAGTTTTGAAAATGTTAGCTAGGGTTCACATTAGCATTAAATTATTATTACCCTCATGATAACAAAAGAAACAAAGACAGCTTTTTTGGGCATTGTACTAAAGAGATGAGACTCAAGCATCTCCAAAAGAACCTTAAAATTTTTATGCTTCTGGTTTTTAAGTCTGACAAATGTTTATTAAAGGATTTTGAAAGCCTAGCTTACTTTTTAAAAATTTCAATTTAATTAAAAAAATAGATAAATACATTATATGTTACAAGTTTTAAAGGTACAAGAAGATACATGAAAGTCTTCTTCCCTGTCACTTAGCACTCAGTTCCATTCTTTGGACGCAATCAGTTTCTTTTATGTATTTCCTGAAATATTCTAAAGGATTGCTTTTGGAAAAGGAAAGTTGAGTCATACTCATTGAAATATTAGCACTGACTTGAATAGGCAGACTATTTGCAATGAAAAATCAGTTTGAGCCATAAGCTAAAGATGTTAAGAGTAGATGGAAAAGCTATAATAATATTATAATAATAGTTGCATTACCGTGAGACTACAAGAATAGGAGGGATATTTTTGCCTGATTTGACATTCAGCAAGCTGGCAGGTCTTTTTGTTTTTATTTTTATTTTGAGTATGGCTACCCACTCCTAGAGACTGATGGAAGGATACTTATCTAAATATTTTATTTGGAAGAAACCTATTTAAAGGAGCAATGTTTTTTTTATGCTGAATTACAGTGATAACACTAAAAAGTTTTTTCATTATGGAAAATTTCAGACATACACAGTAGTAGAGAGAAACCCCCATAGTCTGGAATACATGGTATTTGACCTCTAACAAACTCAATATCCTTCTTTGGCAGATAAGGAGATTTTTTTTTTTCCTATACATACTTGCATGTACCCATTCTGCCATAATCACATCTATTGAAATGAATCATAATTCTTCAATGTCTAATTCTCAGTTCATATCCAAATTCTCTAATTGCCTCAGACATGTCTTTTTATGATTGGCCTGCAGTAACAACTTATAAAATATAATTTTGATGGCTATAACATTGGTAAGGCTGATAAGAAAAGTTAATCTAACAAGTAGAACAAATATGTTGATTGGAGAAGGAATATAAAACAACTACCAAGCCAAATAGGAATTCCAAAAATAGATTGTTTAAAAAAAAAGCTCATTTTGGATTTTGAAGGATTTCTGTGTCAATTATGTACATCAATGAAGGCTCTCTTACCTAGTTTTCTGTTTACTTTTATTCTCATGATTAATATCACAGTTGTGCATATTAGTTTTTTTTAATTGTGGGAATCAAAGAATAGATAAAGGAAAAAATGTTTGGAATAGGTTTCCTAATAATGAAGGAACTATACTGAAATGTTTGATAATTCATCTCGTTGCTGCTGCTCCTGCTCATGCTATAATATGACCTATTTCCACAGACTAACAATTGAGTTCTCTGATTACTCGGGACGGTACAAAACATGGAGCTTGAGGGGAAAGAAGAAAAAGGGCAGATTTAGGAGGAGGGATGCATTGGGAAAGAACAGAAACTCAATCATTTGCCTTCTGTTTTAACTGGATGTTCTTTATGCTGGCTAATGAGAACCTCCTCTTTGTGCAGTATACAAGTCCCCGGAGTATGAATCCCTTGGCTTTGAGCTTACTGTGGAAAGATTAGTTTCTATTGGCTATCCCCAGGAGCTGCTCAGTTTTGCTTATGATTCTACATTCCCTACCAGGTAATTTTTCAAGATGTTTTTGGATTAAGACTACTTCCCCAACCCCAAAATTAGTAATTCCAAATTTATCTCTGACCAAAAAAAAAAAAAATTATCAAATAATTCTTTGCTTTTTTGGTTGGCGCTGATTCTAAAATTGCCATGAAATTTTCATATACATTGTATATTTTGTGTTCTTGAATTGAGCTCAGTTTACTGCTGTTGAAGAAGACCTACTTATGGGTAGGAAAAGGGATTACTAAAACCGATGGTCAGTAATCACAGATGATCCTATCTTTGGCTGTCGGAGAGCAGTTATATGTTTTGCTAATATATTTAACTTGGTAGTCAGAGCCTTGGCAGTTTGCATTTCTGGATTTGATAGGGAAGATTTAAAATTAAAAAAGATAATGTTCATTTGAGATGCTATCAGGTATGTCCCACATATAATATCTGATAGAAGGAAAGAAAAAAGGCTTGCTCAAGGAAATTAAAAGACTGTTTTAGAATGGTACCAGCTGTATTAAGAGGAATTACGTTTATACCTTCTTTGATTAAGCTCTTATTCCATATAGAAAACAATTGAGATTATTTATCTATCTGCAGTGGTCCCCAACCTTTTTGGCACCAGGGACCGGTTTCATGGAAGACAATTTTTCCAAGGACCAGGGATTGGAATGGTTTGGGGATGAATTCAGGCACATTACATTTATTGTGTAGTCAAACCTCTCTGCTAATTATAATCTATATTTTCAGCCACTCCCAGAGCTAGCATCACCACCTCAGATCATCAGGCATTAGATTCTCATAAGGAGGAGCACACACCTAGATCCCTCGCATGTGCGGTTTACAGTAGGATTCGCCCTCTGTGAGAATCTAATGCCGCGGCTGATCTGACAGGAGGTGGCGCTCAGATGGTGATACCAGTGATGGGGAGCTGCTGTAGATACAGGTGAAGCTTCGCTGGGTTGCGCGCAGCTCATCTCCTATTGTGTGGCCCAGTTCCTAACAGGCCATGGACCAGAACCATTCCTCGCCCTGGGCGTTGGGGACTGCAGTCTATCTGGACAGAGTAAATATTTTTTAATTGCTCTGGGATTAGTTTTTAAGATTTAATTCACTCACTTTAGCCTCTAAGGTTATAATGTTTTGGGACATACTTGAGTGGCTACAAAGCTGGAATTAGATGAGGTTGGTTCATGGTTATTGAGTAGTACAACATAAAATTATTGCCTGTATTACTTCGCATGATCAATGGTGTCTTCATTTTCACATAGGGGACTTGTCTTTGACACACTATATGGAAATCTTTTGAAAGTTGATGCCTATGGAAACCTCTTGGTCTGTGCACATGGATTTAACTTCATAAGGGGGTGAGTACAAAGAACCCTTAGCCTCTTTCTAGTGTTTTTATAGTCAAATAATATGATGGTGACAGTTGTCTCCCAGATGTAATATACTTGCCTATTCCTTTCATCTTTAAAGAGAAAATTCCTTTAAATAAGGTTAGTTAACAGTTAGGCAGTTAGAACCTAAACTAACATACAAATAGTTGGCAATTATGTTTTGTTTAAATTACGTGCCTCCTAATTGTACAGCATTCAGCAAAGCTAATCTTCAAATTTGTCCAAAAGAACTGTAGTAGTTTTGACTTATATGAAATTCTAAGATTTTTATTTTCTCCTTTTTAATACAGTTCTCAGGTAGCTGCTCAGAAAAGGTATGTACATAAAAGTGCTTTGAAAACTTTTAAACTATAGCAATTTAAATGACTAAGATTTTTAGTAACAGAACAACGGAAAAGATTTATTTTTTGTTCAGTAAAAATGGGAGAGAATTCCAGTGTCCCTAGCCACAAGGGACCAGTTCCACTGAAAAGTGAATAATGGGAACTCAAACTTTTGAAAACATTTGGGGAAAGGGAAAATTGGTTTTCTGTTAATTAGCAAATGTTCCAGTGGGGCTCTGTTTTTGTCGGGATGTGTTATGTTGTACATACGCATATATGGACCAGAGTCTCTGCTGAGTTTATAAGGTTCAGAAAAAAATGGTTGGTAAAATCTTGATTTTTTAAAAATTTATCTCAGTAAAGCTCACTGGAACTCCAAATTCCAAAAAAAAAAAAAAAAGATTTTTAGTAGCTAATACATTATTTTTATTCTAATGAACACTTTTAACCATTTGATTATGGGATTAAAATTTTTTAAAAACATAAGGTTAAAATGAATACAGGGTTATAATATTTAAAACAAGGATAAGCTTTATTTTCATAATCAGAGTATTGTTCCATTACTGTCACTAATTTGGACTTTATACCCTAGTAGACAGCAGATAAAATTTAGTATATACTTTTTATTTTGGCAAAGCATCCCAATTTTTTCTTAAAAAATCATAATACCACAATTTGACAACTTCTATAATTGTGGCTTTACAATTACACATTTTCTCTACTGTCATACTACCTTGTTTACTACTGACACTATATTAGGGCGAGAACAACTCTTAAAACCAAAATAGGTTATGTGTCAGTCTCTTGTGTAACTTTAACCGTGTATTATTCATTCTTGATGGAAAATAGTAACATAAGTCTACATTGAAATTGTTAGAAAGACAGTATCTTATTCCAGCTACTTGGGAGGCTGAGGCAGGAGGATCGCTTGAGCCCAGGAGTTTGAGGTTGCAGTGAGCTATGGTGATGCCACTGCACTCCAGCCTGGGCAACAGAGCGAGACACCCTGTCTCAAAAAAAAAAAAAAAGGTGTCTTCTTTTTTGTTGTGTGATAAGAGGTACAAAAAAGGACTAAAATGATACCAGAGCTTCCTTTAAACCTGAGGTCACAGCAGTGCCCCACTTAGAATTGAAGAATCTGATATAAGACTCTTCAGCTGGCATTACTGATGTTACATAGGCTCAAAGATGTCCAGGTATATACATAGAACAGTGTCAAGTATTAGGTTGGTGCAAAAGTAATTGCAGTTTTAGCATTGTTGAAATTTGCTGTTTGATATTGGAATGCATTCTTAAATAAATGTGGATGTGTTCTACATCATTTTAATGTGCGTTTCTCGCTTTATTTTTTTGCTAATGACTTATTACTTGCTGTTTATTTTACATTTATTTTAGACTGTGGAAATGATGTTAGACAAAAAGCATATTCAAGCTCTTTTCTTATTCGAGTTCAAAATGGGTTGTAAAACAGCAACTTGCAACATGAACAACACATTCGGCCCAGGAACTGCTAACGAACATACAGTGCAGTGGTGGTTCAAGAAGTTTTGCAATGGAGACGAGAGCCTTGAAGATGAGGAGCTCAGTGGCCAGCCATCGGAAGTTGACAGCAAGCAACTGAGAGCAGTCATCAAAGCTGATTCTCTTACAACTACACAGGAAGTTGCCAAAGACCTCAAGGTTGACCATTCTATGGTTGTTCTGCATTTGAAGCAAATTGGGAAGGTGAAAAAGCTTGATAAGTGGGTGCCTCATAAGCTGATCGAAAATCAAAAAAATTGTCATTTTGAAGTGTCGTCATCGTCTTGTATGCAACAACAAGCCATTTCTCAATTGGGTTGTGACGTGTGACGAAAAGTGGATTTTATACGACAACCTGCGACGACTCGCTCAGTGGTTGGACCGAGAAGAAGCTCTAAAAGCACTTCCCAAAGCCAAACTTGCACCAAAAAAAGGTCATAGTCACTGTTTGGTGATCTGCTGTCGGTCTGATCCACTATGGCTTCCTGAATCCCAGTGAAACCATTACATCTGAGAAATATACTCAGCAAATCGATGAGATGCACCAAAAACTGCAATGCCTGCTGCTGGCATTGGTCAACAGAAAGGGCCCAGTTCTCCACAGTGCCTGACCACATGTCTCACAACCAGTGCTTTAAAAGTTGAACGAATTCAGACATGAAGTTTTGCCTCATCCACCATAGTCAGCTGATCTCTCACCAACCAACTACCACTTCTTCAAGCATCTCAACAACTTTTTGCAGGGAAAACACTTCCACCACCAGCAGGATGTAGGAAATGCTTTCCAAGAGTTTGTGGAATCCCAGAGTATGGATTTTTATGCTACAGGAATAAGCAAATTTATTTCTTGTTTGCAAAAATGTGTTGATTGTAATGGTTCCTATTTTGATCAATAAAGATGTGTTTGAGCCTATATGTGATGATTTAAAATTCACTGTCTGAAACTGCAATTACTTTTGCACCAACCTAATAAATACCCCACCTGGACACATCTGGGAAGGCCAGTGGTTACATCCACTTTTCTTTCACTATTCCTCTCATAAGGGATTTGTTCAAGATCCATGAATATCAGGAAGCAGGATTTAGAAAATGAAGTGATCGCAGGTAGTACTAGTAAGCTAAGCTGTTTTATATACTGATATTGTCACTATAATTCAGAATCCCAATGAAGATGAGCCAGGGTTCTATTTATGTCCAAAAAGGAATTTTTGTATTATGGGGGAGAGGGGTAGACAGAGAAGAAAAGGAAGAGAAGCAGTTCAGTAAGTTAGTACTACAGTCACATTTACTAACTCAAGCAGACCTCCTCTCTTCCCTTACATAAGCCAATAAACTTTCCAAATAGCTCCTTTGGAAATACGTTTAATAGTGTTTCAGAACTAAGTCATTGATGAGTAAACGCACAATCATTCAAATAGCACTTAGCACTGTGCAGTCTTTAGACTCAAAAGGCAAAGCCCATGGAAAGGAGAGACTGAAGACAGAGGGAAAGGGAGAGTAGTTATTGAAGTACAGCAATGGACAAGGCTGGATGAGAAGTTTGGACTCCATTAGGTCTTGCTAATGAGGTGGGACCTCATTTTTTCAAACAAATCTTTATATTGTGTGGATCACAGAAGGTAGGGATCTGTACTGTAACTGTTTCCTTCCTACTTCAAGTGTAGCATTCCTTTAATGACACATTACCTAACCCCGAATCAATTTTTATTTTAAATATATACTAGTATGGTTTGACAGTTAAACATAATGTAATTTCTAAGTATATTTATAAATCAGTTTGGGTTCTAACTGCCTAATAAATAACTGTTAACTATCTTTATGTAAAGGACTTGTTCTTTAATGATTGGAGAGCATAGAAAAGTATATTATTACATTTAGAAAACAATGTCAGTTTACTAAACCTGTCTGAGGAAGTATATTATTACTATTTCCTTCCACCTTATTTTTCATTACAGAATATCTTGAAAGGCTAGATGATAAGAGTTCTCAATAAGAGTAACTTTGTAGAATATCTTATTTCAGAAGAGTGACTTAAGACAGGGAGCTAGTGTGATTTTATATGCCTAACTGGAGTTTATGCTATTTGTAGTTAACAAACTCAAGCAGGAATTTACCCAAGTCATTCTGAGTATGAACTTTAAATTTGGTTTCCTTTAAACTTGTTAATCTCCATGTACTCACTGTCAGAATTATGCATTTTAATATTTCAGTCTTTCTCCCTTTTAATTTCTCTGAAACATTTTTTAACACTGTCTCCTTTTTGAAGTGTTTCATTGAACTCTCCAAGCTTCTCATGTATCTCTAACAATTTCTCTTTCGCTGGCTTTTTTTTTCTTTTTAACCCTGAATGTTCTCCATGGTTCTGTTCTCAGTGTCCTCTCTTCCTTCTCTGTACTCTTAAGTGGCCTCATCTCCTCTACTACTTTTCATGATTTTGTCTATTACCTGTGCGTAGATGATCCCAGTTATCGCTCAAGTCTGAATTTCTGTTTTAAGTTCTTGATCTTTGTTTCTAATTGCCTGCTAAAAATCTGTTTACTTCAAGCTTACCATAGCCAAAATGGAACTCTTCTTACATCCCCTTCTTATCCAATTTTCAAATTTCTGTTAACTGTACCAAACACCTCTGAGAGACACCTTAGCATGAGTATTATCATCTTTGGCTCTTATGTCCCTAATCTGCCTGATATGATCAGTTGCCTAGTCTTGTTCATTTTACCTTGGCAATCTCTCTTGAATACATTCTTCCCTTTAATTTCCTTTGTCACCACTCTACAACAGGCCCCACTGTTCTCATCTGGACCACTGGAATAACCACCTGATTTCCCAGTACTTCGTCTCTGTATCAGTTACCTTTTGCTGGAAAATAAATCACTTCAAAACTTAGTGGCTTAATACAGTGACCATTTTATTTAGCTCAGAATTCTGAGAGTCAGCTGGGCAGTTCTGGGGTGGTTTGGCTGATCTCTCTGGGCTCTTTTATGTGTATGTGGTCAGCTGGTGGGTCAGGTGGCAGCTGATCTAGAATGGCCTCACTCACAGGTCTAGCAGTTTGCAGGCTGGGTGCCTCATTGCTGCATGTAGTCTTTTTATCCTCCAGCAGATGATTTTATTTTTATTCACATAGTAGTCTCAGGGTTCCAGGTATAGCAAGAGAGGGCAAATCCCACTACTCAAGTGTTTTCCAAGTATTTGCTTGCTATTGTTCAAGCCTATATTCAAGAATGGAGAAACCAGTTATAGATTCCTTTGTTCCTTCTTCACTCCCACTGCTTCACTTGACCAGCCTTTAAAAAAAAAAGGAACTGAACCTCTAATGAGAGGGGCCACAAAGTTGCATCACAGAGTGCCAGGAAGAATTAGTGGCCATTGTTGCAATATGTCATATTTTCTTTTTCCAGTTTATCCTGAAACAGCTACTAATTTTTTTACAACTCGGCTCTGATGGGTTTATATCTCTGCTTAAAAACTGTCAGTAGCACCTTCTTTCTTGCCCCTGAATGAAATATAGGAATAACAGCATCATCTACCTTAACCCATTTTTGTAGCTTTATTTTTTCTCTGTTCCCTTCTCTACCCAATTGGACTAGTTTCTGAACTGGCCCACCTGGCCTTTAAGACCCAGCTCATATATGCCACCACTTTCATGACTCTTTCCCAGATTTTCCTCAACTCTCATGTTCACTTCTCTCTGCTCCTTAAGTTGAAATGGTTTCCTCTTCTTCGGGTTTCTCATAGCTCTTTGCACCTTTCTTATAGTAGTTGTGATTTTTTACTTTATTATAATTGTATGTGTACGTGACTTACCCTACCAGACTGAGAACTCTTTAAGTGCTGGAACCTGAGCTTGTTCATAGCAACCAAGGCTTAATATTTAGAATGCTGTCTTACACGTAGCCATCAAATATTTGAATGAAATTTTGAATAATGACTATTTCCCACAGTTATTATAATGTTAATTTTTAAAATGTCAGTTGATTTTTAAAATTTTCTTTCAGACCAGAAACTAGAGAGCAATATCCAAATAAATTTATCCAACGAGATGACACTGAAAGATTTTACATTCTGAACACATTATTCAACCTACCAGGTAGACTCATTCTATGCTTATTTATACTGATGCTTTCCCTTCTTTCTATGACCATTAGTCTTTGCTTAAGGGAGATAATGAAGTAAGTTTGAACTATTTCACTTATAGCTTATGAATATCTGTTCTTCGTTTTTCAGAGACCTATCTGTTGGCCTGCCTAGTAGATTTTTTTACTAATTGTCCCAGATATACCAGGTATGTGTATACTATAATTTTTTTCAATTGATTTTTTTAATTAATGTACAGGGTTTTAGAGAACTGGCCATTGTAGGTCTTTTCTGCTTTTCTAAAGTGAATTTAGTGCTAGTGAGAGATGCCACATTGCCAGCCTGAGAGATGGGACAGCACCAGCAGCTCCATGCAGGCCCTCACCTCCCACACGGCCCTCTCCTTGCCAGTGTGCTGCAGCCATGTTTGGAAGGGACCACTTCTGATTGGCTTCTCCTGGGAATGAAGACGGCCAGCAGAGGTGCTAATTGTGACAACTGAGTGGGAGGTTTGTGTGATGATTATCTGTCCAAGCAGAATTACACTAAAACCCCCCAACTCATTTCACAGCAGCTACCCAGGAGCCATTCAGGGATGCTAATTTAGTTTCATTCCCAGGCCCAGCAAGATTTGATTGAGGAATAAATACTGTTTATCTTCCCTGAAGTAAAATTCTACTTAAGTCTTAAACGAATTATCCTCTTCTTTTAAGGGAGAATTATACAGCCATTGCTGAAAGTTTAGTCATAGATGCAAGAGTTTGGTAACTTCTGATCCCCTTATCCATTTTAAGACACTAAATTTGGTGGGAAGCAGAGTCACTAAGCTAAATAGAAAATGGACAATACCTTTGTACTTAGGGACAACGTCAGAAAAGTCAGAGTGGAAAGAACCTAAATGACCGATTTTGAGTTTTAAATGTTTCTTCAATGAGAACCTGTTTCTAAAAAGTGATAAATAAAAGAACCTGATATTTTTGGATCTTTGGCCTTTTAGCTTCCATTCATTATATTCTATCACTTTGTATTTGTTCACAACTATTGTAATCCATTGAACACTACAGCCATTTCTGGTGGTCAAAAGTGGATATTCATTAGGGAGTAATAATTTTCCTAATTAGTCATAGTCTTTACCCATGCGATATGGAACCTTTGGGTCCCCTGGGCAATTTGATATTCATTTTATTTACCCTTTTTTGGATTCCCTGTCATGTTCTTTTTATCTTTCTGTAGCTGTGAAACAGGATTTAAAGATGGGGACCTCTTCATGTCCTACCGGAGTATGTTCCAGGATGTAAGAGATGCTGTTGACTGGGTTCATTACAAGGTACCTAGAAGCTGCTGCTTCACCTGCTCACTCTTTGGCATGTGTTTTATGGTCTGACATTAAAAAACTTTCCACATGCAAATGGAACAATTTTTCCTTTGTTAAAAAAAAAAAATGGACTTGGCCTCTAGTGATAGCTCTCTAGAAGACATTTGTTCTTTTCTTTGGCCCTGCTGCTCTCAGAGGTAATGCTGATCGTTCCTCAGTGGTGGTACTTGGCTTCTTGATTTTATTCCAGTTCGCATTTCTCAACTTACTTAGAAGAGAGTTTACTGTATTAGATTATACTTAACATATCCTTCGTAGATGATAATGGTTCTTTTTTTTTTTTTTGTCCAAATGTTTCCCACTTGACTAATAACATAAATTAGTTAATATTAAGTTTACATTTATTATAAACTGTATTGAATAAGACGTGAAATGTCTTTTAATTTCTAATTTAAAGTAGAAACAATTTTATATTTTGAAGACAAATTTTAGAGGCAGAGTTGTAGCACATCATACCTGCTCCTTTTTCCTGGCCTTCTCTATCTACTTTTCTGTTTTGGTAAATACTAAAGAAATGCATGTGGGTTGATAGTAAATGTACTTTTTCTTATAAACTAAATGTTAAAAACTAATTTTTGTTCTTAGATCCTTTTTTTCTTCCCCCAGGGCTCCCTTAAGGAGAAGACAGTTGAAAATCTTGAGAAGTATGTAGTCAAAGATGTAAGTAGTACAGGGAAAAATAGATCTCCATAATGACTTATTTTACCTGATAGGAAAATGAATAACAAGGCTATTTATAATGAAATGGACTAGGGAATATATTTATTTTTCTTGGCATAGTATGTGCCAGGTATAAGCACCAAGAATTATCAGCCAGAGCAGAGGTCTTAGTAGAGTTTTTCCTATTTGTTGATAGGCAAGAAGACCCAGTATTTCATTTGTTCTTTTAGCTCTAATTATAATAATAGCCCCTAGAGGTTTACTGTACGCACATCACTGTGCTAAGTGATTGCATGCATTATGCCATTTAATCTTCCCTGTAACCCTGAGTTAGGTATTATTGTTACCTCTGTGTTATAGATGAAGAAATTGAGGAATAGAGGGAATAAATAACTTGCCCAAGGTCACACAGTAAGTAGTGAAGCCGAGATTCATACCCAAGTCATAACTAATGTATTAGATCGTCTCAAAAATGTACATATGTGTGACTGTTATTTAAAATGCCTTTAACCTATCAACAGGGAATAATGAGGAAAGCTTTAAAATACCTTAGAAGACATTAATGGAAATATAATAAAATTCAGAAAAATCTGTAGTTAACGGTATTGTACTAACGTAAATTTCTTAGTTTTGATAATTATACTGTGGTTATATAAGATGTTAATATTAAGGGAAGCTGGACAAAGAATATATGAGAACTCTCAATACTGTTTTCACTTTTCTATAAATCTAAAATTATTTCATAATAAAAAGTAAATATAGAGCCTGAAGATGAGATACTTATTCTTTTCCTACAGAGTAAAAGCAGAATATGGTATTTTTCTCAAAGTTCTGTGGTAAAGATTTCTTGTTTTCAGTCTTTGTGTCTCCTATTTCCACCCACCTCCCTTATGATTTTCAAGAAAGAACACTGAATGGGGAGAGTCCAGGAGAATTTGAGTAAAGGACTATTTACTGTGAGAGAAGGAAAAGGTGTTTCTCTTTCCAGATACATCAGGAGTTAGAATTTCCTCATTTGTCTGCAGGGTGGGTGATTTCTAGGTTGTACCTGCACATGTTATTTTATTCTACAAGGTGTTTTATAAAACCATAGGATACACAGTGAAGCCATATCTAATAATCTATATTATATTAGAGTATTTGTGGGTAATGTTTAAAACCAGCTTCTCCTGATCGCTGTCATACCTCACATACTTCAAGAAATCTCAGGGTAATTTAAACTCTTTCCTAAGGCAGACATCATGAGGAAGGTATAGTTATGTTGTAAATGACCATATAAACCACATAAATATGTCTATCATTTTACATATAAATCTGTGTTATATAAACTGTACTATATATGTTAGTACTTTATTCATGCATGGTGGTAATGTGGGCTTTTAAATGCAAAATTCTGAAACCAACCAACTGTCCCTAAAAGGGCCTCCCCTATTCCTATTTCAATGGATAGAAATCCAGTATATGACTACCCCAACATATAAATACAAAAATATTTTAGTGTTTCACTCATTATCATATTACATTGCAGGGAAAACTGCCTTTGCTTCTGAGCCGGATGAAGGAAGTAGGGAAAGTATTTCTTGCCACCAACAGTGACTATAAATATACAGATGTAAGTACTTAATATTCATATTTGTTTATTTACACAAAGGAATTACTTTGGCCTAAAGAACTGTGAAGATAATGAGGAGAATAGAAGTTTATTAAGTGAATATAGTTTCTTGTCATCTCATTTTGAAAGCAGAGTGGAAAAAGGAAAAATATATAGAATAAAATCTATGTCAGAGTGGTTCTCAATTTTTCTAAATGTTCATTTTAACTATTTTCCCTTATTATAAAAGGCTACTTGAAAGTTTTAATTTTGGGGTTGTTTAAAACATTTGTGCTGATCAAATGGCTTTTGTGCCTTTTTTGGAGCATCCTTCATATAAACTTCAGCGGTCATACCCTTTATTGATCTGTGTATATGGCTTCCCTACTGTTGGAAGTAGCAATAGATGGTGCAAAGATGTTTTGAATCTTAGCTATCAAAATTTACTGCCTCTTAACCTAAAAAAGAAATTTTTCCCGTGATTAAAGCATGTGGAAATACTGATTTAACTCCTTAACTTCATTTTACTTTTGCTGAGACACTTACAAGTTTATAGTACTAGCAAGAAGTTTTACTCCTCCCTCTTTTCTGTATGTAAAATCTTGATTTATATATCTTGTGACTTGTATTAAACATCTTACAAAACCACTTGTTTGTTAGTTGGTTTAGGGACGGTAGTAGCAAGGCCAAGGTAATATGTTACATCCATGTGAGTCATTAGTTTTCTCTAAACCCTTACTTCATAGGCCCCTTACCTCCAAATGTATATTCAAAAGCATCTTCTAGAAGAAGCATGTATCCTCCCTGAGAATGTTAGAAGCTTTTGTTGTTGTTGGTATGATAAAGCATTCATTTTTAACTTCCACTGCCATTATTTCATAAACTTTAGAGGAAACAAGAATGTGATGAATCCTATATTGAAAAAGACATGTTCTATGAAAAGCTTGTGTGTAATTTTTTTGCAGGTATTATGTATCTTGTGCAAAAATAGGATATGGACCTTATGTTGTTTTTTTTCCTCCCCAGAAAATTATGACTTACCTGTTCGATTTCCCACATGGCCCCAAGGTACTATATGTAACTTAAAAGTCCATTGCTTTAGTAATAATGAATGCATTTAATCATTCTGGAATTTGGAGGGGAAGGGACTGGTCAGAATCCACCTAGAAAAGTCCTACTTTTAAAGGCTACTGTCTAATCTTAATCATTAACATTAGAAGTAACTCAGGAGCTAGTGGAATTTAAAATCATTAACAATTTGAATACTTGGTAGACAGAAATAAAAGGGACATTCATGTGGTAGTTAGTAGGATGGGATCAGAATAATGTTATGCCCAAGAAATTCTACACAGAATTGTTAAGTTTGTTTGGCAATGAAAGGAATTTCAAGGTTGAGGAAGATATTTGATTAACAGAAAAAGAAAATTTGAATGTATATATTCTTGACAACTTGTAGATTCTGCTATTAGTTATTGCTGAGTTTTGTGCCAAGAGAGCAGTTAACCTTGATATGTAGCAGAAAAGTCTTCATTCTTGCCTTATGGCTTCATTTAGGTTTAAGGAATCAATACCCATTGCAACTTAGTCACATACTTATAGAATTTTAGCCCTAGATTTTTGTGAATAAACATTAACAAACCCTGTTTTGAGATCACCCAAAATCACAGTGTGCAGTGCCCTTTAACTTGGTCTTTAAAAGTTAATGCCATGGTTCCATTTCAGGATAGAAATAATTTTAATGGGTATATAACTTCTACATTAGTGTTGTGATTAGCTTGCAATATGAACCAAAGGCTGATGTGTTCCTAGAGCCATCATTCTGAAAACCAGTAAAATTTCCTGATGATAGTTCCATGTTTATATACTTTAGTTCTGAGCTACCTCTGTCAGTCTGTCCCGTGGGTATTGATTTGCCCCTCTCTCTAGCCCCCTTTGAGCCCCTTTTTAGCACATTTCAGAGTGTGAGCACACAATTTCTTAAAGTCCTGTGAAATAAGTTACTGTGTATGATATACTAATAAATCTAATAAATTACTAGAGTCATTTAGTATTTACACCTTGCCTGCTTCTAAAAGGATGTGGCTTATAATTAGACATAATACATTTTTTATAAAATAATGGGATCTTCTGGCTTTACTTAGTATTTCTATATTCCTTGCATCTGAGTGAGATTAAACATCAGTGCCTAAGGTAAGCAGTGATGTTTTGGCTTTTGCTGTTTCTCCTTCACCAGCCTGGGAGCTCCCATCGACCATGGCAGTCCTACTTTGACCTGATCTTGGTGGATGCACGGAAACCACTCTTTTTTGGAGAAGGCACAGTACTGCGTCAAGTGGATAATGTAAGTCAGGAGGATGATCTGTTTGCTACCACACTGCTCTTCTGTTTTTCCTTTCCCATTCCTACTCTCCTTAAGGAAACAGGTATTTTTAACTTAATATCCCATGTCTTTCTTTTGAAATTAAGAGTTTGGGTCTTAACTAAGGTAGCCAAACAAACCCACTAATTCAAAAGAATAAGTGTCATTCATTTGACTGCCTGGCCAAGTAACATTGTTGGGGGAGATTGCGATAGGATAATAAAGTTATCCATATTTTCTTCACACAGAAAACTGGCAAGCTGAAAATTGGTACCTATACAGGCCCCCTACAGCATGGCATCGTCTACTCAGGAGGTGAGTCACAGACTTCCCTTTATTTATTCTAAGTCTTTGCTCAGGCCTCACTCTGAAAGCTTTGGTATTCTTCCAGCATGGTGCCACATGTATTCTTTAGTATTCTAAAGATGTCATTTACTGAAGGTGAACAGTTTAGTCATGTACTGAGGTAACAGGAGTCCAAGTTTGAGAAATTGATAGTATGTCCTAATGAATCTGATTTTCACTAAAAGGATTCGTTTTCCCTTCTTTTTTTTTTTTTTTTTTAAAAAAAACCTATTTGAGGCTTTTTCTCAATGTCTATAATCATTTGGGGTGCTTAAGATGTTCTCGGGGTTTTCAAGGAGCCTCTGTGGGCACAGGTACATATTATTTTGAAGTTAGAAATAATTGAACAAAGCCAGTTTAATGACAGATCTGTGATAAAAAATCGTGGTGGTACTTTTGAAGATTATATTCACTAAAGCTAAGACATGTAGTTTTGTTGCTCTTGGATTTGGTGATCGGGAGCTCTGGTCAGCACAGTGGAGCTGAAGGCCTTGTCTTAGAGGCAATGAAAAGAGAATGGTGAATCCTTGCCTTTAAGAAAGGTGAGCCCTTTTTCTAGTCTGTCCCTCACATAATTTTAAGAATAAAATTAATCATAGTATTTAATGGTTATGGTACTTGGAACACTGGTTTTAATATGGAGACATTTTTGTTTTCTCCTTGTTCACTCCATTGTTTCAGGTTCATCTGATACAATCTGTGATCTGTTGGGAGCCAAGGGAAAAGACATTTTGTATATTGGAGATCATATTTTTGGAGACATTTTAAAATCAAAGAAACGGCAAGGGTGGCGAACTTTCTTGGTGATTCCTGAACTTGCACAGGAGCTGCATGTCTGGACTGACAAGAGTTGTAAGGAGCCATTACTCTTATTTTATAAATCTTTGACATAGCTAGTTTATATCTAAATGACCAGCTTTGAATCAATCCTCTTTGATAAGCTATTACTTTGTATGCAGGGAGTCAGAGGTGGTCAAAAGGTGGGTCCTGATAGCTGGATACTTCCTTCCTATATTCAGATACGTCACGGAACTCCAGAATTTGAATAACTATGAGAGGTTCATGGTTATCTTTTTTTTTTTTTTTGAGACAGAGTCTCGCTTTGTTGCCCGGGCTAAAATGAGTGCCGTGGCGTCAGCCTAGCTCACAGCAACCTCAAACTCCTGGGCTCAAGTGAGCCTCCTGCCTCAGCCTCCTGAGTAGCTGGGACTACAGGCATG